AAGTGGCACTTGGTTTCGCTTACATTGTAAAACATATGCATAGAAAATGTATAATACTTTGTCAAACCGCTTCTGAATGACACCTCCAAAATACCTTGTTGGACAGGCAGGTTGTTTTACCATACTTCACCGTGTTAGTCAGTGATCCTTTACATTCATCTCTGCACCGCGGACGGAGTGTGTCGTGGGCTATAGCCGCCTCAACTAAATTTGGTGTAAAAATTATAATTTTTGACATTGGAGAGGACAAGAGATGATTGAGAGCCACACCACGATGTCCCTTACTCTCTCTTACCCTTCCCTCGTCTTGGACTACTTTTATTCAAACTGCTGATTGGCCAGCTCCTATTTTATTTTTATTCACTGAAACATTTGACCACAAAACATCAATAAGTGGTAGCAAGTGTCTCATCTACAAGGCAGTCCTCAGCTGGGCCTGCCTCATAAAATAACAAATATACATTGAACACAACATCAGACAACAAATCCATTTTACCTGATTACGTGGTTGGAGCTTGAATGTCTGGCGCTTGTGTTTAGATTTAAATCTATTTGTTATTTTATTTAAATCAGGTCAGAGTGAATTATTGACAATGTACCTTTTGCAAGGGAAATCCGAAAAATTGCAGAGGCGTGAAGAAGAGACGATATTAGATATATTAACATCGTACTTGTATACGTGTCCAAATGTATATCGTTATTATTCATCATCATTAGCCATTGCCGATCCCATTGCTGACGAAAGCCTCTTCACACTGTCAACAACTTACGTTGATCCCGCCATGCCACGATCCATCTCGCTCGTGCACACGCGCCGATCGGATCACTCCGCCTCCACAATCGTGTTATCCGCTCCCTCTTCTGGTCGCCATTCCATCTTGCCCATTGGCCACCACCCTCCGCCAGGATCTCTCCCGCACTCCGGGTACGCTTTTACCTTCACCCACGATGCTGCACGGAAACACATAGCGAGTTTGTACAGCATATCGCTTTAGTCTGTTGAATGGGATCGCATGGTTTATACGGAGTGCTCTTGCCAATAACATCCCATCATCAAGCAACATTTGTTTCTGAAGCCTGGCTCTGCTGATGGTACTTGGAGAGGTCCACACCAGTTCAGAGTTTGCTTGCTTAGACAAATGATGCACGATGATCATAATGGTCTGTCAGGCCAACAGGGTGATGGACTAAAACATTTTACTCATATGTGGAGACACATAATGAAATTCTACTCATACTCTGTACGTTTTCACCCATAATACTCCACAGCAACGCAAAACTGTTTGTGCACGGTAATTCATTACAGTTCCTGTTCGTGAACGTTAACTGCCAAAATACAGTGGGTTGGTCAGTGCATTTTGGGTAGGGCCCATTGATCTAGGAGCATTTTCATTTATTGGTAAATGCCTCCCTTCTCAAATGAGCAATGGGGTGACACAGTGCATTATATGTTGCTAGCCCTGAGCATTATTGCAGTAACCACTGCGCCACCACTCCAATTACGAACCCAAACTCATACAGTACCTGTAGACAAAAAAAGTGTACGCGAAATTCATAAACGTAGCAAGTTTAAAAGTCATGTATGTACACGGAGGTGAGTTTAACCTGTTGTGGACAGTGTTGTGGATGAGTGAGTCATTTCATTATGCACACACTGCATTGCCATATGCCACCAGTAATGTAAAAAAAACATTTATACGACCAATATTGTCACAACTTTATCTTAATTTTATCCCAAAACACCTCCTGACATTAGTTTTCCGTTCCGTGAATTTTGAACGGTATATCTGCGGCTTTTGAGATAAGACTGCCGTTGATTATTAGTACATTTCATTACCTTGGGAGCCAATAGAGGCTCAAGAAATTGCCTATGTCTAACCCCAGCTTTGGCAAAGTTTTCCAGCAGATTTTGGTTGTAAATGTGACCTTGCAGTGACCGTTTGAGTGGTTAATGCAAGTTTTTTTTCTAGATGCTCTTTGCCGAACTCTTGATTACTGCGGTGCTTATTCGATTGCATTTGACCTATTGATCATGAGAGTAGGTGAGCAGGAATTGCTTTTTGTGTGTGTGTTGAGTGGCTTATGGAAGGAAAGCATTTGCCTCCCAAAATCCCAGGCTTAAAGATTGGTGACCCCGGTTGATAATAACGATTATAAAAATCGATGCGCTTTTGTTCTGAATTATTTATCTTTATCTTTTGCAAAGCTAACAGCAGTTAATTGGCTGACTTGATTAAATTTTAATTCATTCGAATTGCCCTTACGCATGGCTTCCTTGCAAAAGAAAATGTTGCTTCTCTTTGGATTCTCGCTTTTGCACCAAAGGGATTCATTCATTGCTTATTTCTTGAATGTAGATAAATTATAGAATAGTACCACTGTCCTTTTGATGTGAAAGCCCATCTGCCGATTCATGGATGCAAACAATGTTGGGCTTTTATTGGTAAAATTTACACACGAATCATTTGCGAATCAGCTGTATGGATGAAAGTGGGTCCTTTCTTGGGAGATAAAAGAAAATGTAGTTGAATAGCGGTCACCTTTTTGGACTTTATGATTGTCGAACAAAAGTGCTCTTAATTAAAGGGGCTGGGTTTTATAGCCAACTTAAATCATGTCTGTACGAGGTGCCTGCGTCGTGGACGTAACATTCCATCCTCTGAAATTCTTTTGAGGTTTTTACACTTTTATTAGTAGCTGATTTAATATTGTGTTCTCTGTTTTATATCCATTATTAAATTGTGTGAAAAAGTAGGGATTAGACACCATATGTTAATACATGTTTAAATTCAACATCAGCAGCAGCAGAAAAGCCACGGAATTGTATTAATTGTTATTTAAATTCTACACGAATCCAAAAATGTGCCAGGGCACTTCACTCATGAGAAGTTTCTGAGTTTATTTCCTAGTCTAGGGTCAACTAAGCCCAGCCTCATCCTATCAGGCACGAGAGAATGAGTACCACTCTTTAGGAGGTCAGCACATGGCGTCCTGTTGAGAGAGGGTCTGGCATCTGCAACAGCAAATGTCGAACTCGCAGCGCCGGCTCGGTATTAATACCGAGAGCAGAGATCGGTGAGACCAGAAGTCTCTTGTTCAAGGGACGAGACCCTGTAGCTTAGGACTACACAATAAAGAGCCTCAGCAAGTTTCCGTTTGAGCAACACGGTGGGTTAGGGTTACCTTAATCTGCGACAGTAACATCAACCATGCTGACCGAACAAGTTTCCCTGAAAGTGAACGTGAATAGGGAACGTGGCTAATTATGTTTTGTGGCAACTATTTCCCGTGAAAAGCCATTTGTGCGGTTCTGCAGTGGCTGCAAAAACGACATCCCAGAGTGCAGCAAAACTGTTGATGTGAATTTGAAGCAGAATTTGCTGAGAAACCACTTGCAACTTGGAAAAACCGATTGAAATACCATCAAATGTTGGTCTTAGACTTAAAATAAAATTTGGTAAGCCGTGGGTGAGACGGTGCTGAATTTGGTAAGCCGTGAGGAGACGGTGCTTAATTATGAGCTTTTATGTACCTTTACCAACATCATAACTGTCAAACACTGCGTTGTAACCGATTTTTTTTTTAGCAAGCTGACATTTATGGCCTTTGACCTTATGTAGGACAGATGGACACTGGAGGTCAGGTGTTGGCTGTGCAACAGTTGTGGGAACTATCACAATGAAGGCAGCTTCTTTCGCACCGTACGTAGCCAAACGTGGTAATCGGAGGTGCGGGGGGATAAACAACAAACTAAACACAAAAAGCCGTTTTAAAGAAATGAGTTTTCAATCTAAATTTAAAAGTACATAGCTCCAACGACTTCCTAATATCGGACGGAAGAGCGTTCCCGACGGTTGCATGAAGATTGTTTTCATGTACACGATTTAAATTTAACAAAATCACGTTTTTTTTTTTACACTTTTTGAGGTAAAGTTGTCCCTCATTCAGACGTGGATTGACAAAGCGCACGATACAGTGACAGTCTTTGTTCGATGGCCAGCCAAGAGCCGTTGAGTCAGTGGGATTCGCCATGGTCACCTCTTGATCTTGATTCTCTCAGTTGTGCACTCGTGGGAAATGGGCAAACACTACTGAACTTTTTACTCTTTGCTAAAGTTAAAAGTTAGGTCACAATGCAGGACTTCAGTGGTGTTGGCTTGGCAGTTTTAAGTCAGAGGAAACTCGCAACACCATTTACAATTTACTCTCCGACACACCGCTGTGCTGAACTAGTAACGAATTGGCATGTTCTGTTTACGTGACAAGCCTTACTAATTGGTTCTGTCAGGTGGTGGCGGGTTTAATGACACATTTATTTTCACGCGATCTAACCCAAAAAAACCTCTGTTATGGATAATATTGGTCACGAAAGCCTACTACGTGTTAAGCTGTAAAAATGTGTGCCCTTGTGGCAATTTTGGGTAGGTTTCAACATGTCTTCACGCGCCACTGTGTTAATAAATTATTATTCCGTGCACCGTGATGCAGCACTTAACAAGGTTTTTCCCCCATTAAGTGTGAGAGCGCACCTTAAAATAATTAATGATGGATGTGGCTCCCTGTATCGTACATCAAATCTTGTGTAATTATTCCCCGCTGTAAAAAATGATAAACTGCGCTCGTGCCACTGGTGAATAATATTGATTTGCCATGATTACATTAAAATTTCCTGTATAACTAATGGTTTTTATTTATTTGAAGTCCAGGCTGTTTAATTATTTCACATGCGTGCTGTTTTTTTATATATACCAAGATCTCTTAAGCAATGTTTTAAGTTGTATATGTTTTTTGCAAATGTGCCCTATGTCGATGATGTGCAGCAGGCCTTCAGATAGGGTGGCCATTTTGAAAAGGGAGGGAGGGGCTGGAGGACAAAAAGGCTGTGTGTGTGTGTATATATGTGTGTATATATGTGTCAAGCGAGTTGTGTGTGTGTGTGTATATATGTCAAGCGAGTTGTGTGTGTATATATACGTCAAGCGAGTTGTGTTTGTGTGCAGTGCGCGAACGGGCGCCCGCTGGCCACGCGCGACCGCCGGGCACTGCTCACCCTGGAGGAGCGGCTGCGCGACCTCCGTCGCCACGAGCGGCGCCTCGACTCGGCCGCCACGGGCTGCTGCGCCAAGGTCGGCTGCGCCCTGAGGCCCTTGCAGGTAACTGCGTCTTTGGCTCCTCGTATCAGCCTTCGCCTGTTTACGCGTGAGCACAAGGCAAAGATGGTGGTGAAATGTTAACCACCTCGCCTGGTGTGCAGGAGGTCGTGCGTTCGGTCCGGACCCCGAGGCCTGTATGTTTGGAGTTTGCGTGGTCCTTTCGTTTTTCCCTCTCATTTAGAATCAACGTGCGCTTAGAATATTTGGCTGCTGCTATACATTTCCACGTGATCAGCCACTTCGTTGAACTATCATTTGTGGCCAAGTTACTTCTGAAAAAGAGCTATATAGCTTCAGTCGGCCTTACCTGGTAAAATACAAATAAAGTAAAAATACCAAGATCTTTCTTCTAGCCTGAATAGACTTTTTGGAGAAAATGCTGTTCGCAAGCAGCACCCATGAAGGCCGGCAACGCAAGCGAGGTGCTAGATGGCCAGCGCCATGCCCAACCGCCTGGTACACAGTACCAGGTACTCACTTGAGGCTAAGTCGACCTAGGGGAGATCCAAGAACGGTTTAGGTAATCGTCACTGGTGTAGGTGGCCCTGAGCGGACATCGAACTCGGGTTGCAAGGTTCATAGCGCAGCCCGCTAACCGCTACACTACCACTCCCACATGTTTGTACAACACAGGTTATCACTCGACATGTTTAACGCTTCTTTAACTTCATTATAATTGTGCTATGATCAGCATAAAATATTCATGTCCTATATAGATTCATAGGGTGCCTTATTCCGAGTCGACTGACTCATGCTCAGGGGGGAATTTGTTATTGAACTTTGAGTTACGTTTGTGCAATATTTTTACTGCCATGTGTGACACGGTTGTTTTTTTCTGATTTTGGTTTACTTCGCTCTGCTTTTATTTGTTTTGGTTTTGTCATTTTGGAGAATCAGGTCACTCTTGCAATTGAGACTCTGTCCTGGTCTCTTGAGCTCTCACCGTGTACACAAATCAATGTGAACTTGAAACTCACGCCTCCCAGTGGCCCGGCTCCACTCTTTACGCCGGGCGTGCATCGATGTCCCCGTTCATCGATTCGGGTCAATCCGTAAAGTCATGATGCATCCATCAACTTGTACAAAAGATACTCCATTATTCATTGTTTCTGTAAAGTGTTTGCTTATGTTGCATTCGGGCTCATGGAGAGAACAGAACCTTGCAAACGTGACAGCGCAAACGAGAAACACTGCAAACGAGACGGTAAAAACGAGACAAAAAGTAATTGATAGTTGAATTGCTGGCGGTTGAATGAATCATACCTACTGTCGGTGTTTTTTTTTACAATGACCCTTTTCATAGTCTACGGGAACACAGTTCCCTGCCCCACCCAGCAGTGGTGGCAGTGAGGTCCAATGGCGACTTAGGGCATCACCCCATTGACCTTCCACATTGGTATTTACCGTGGAGGGATGATGGGCTGAAACAGCTCTGCATTGGGATTTGAAACTTCCAATTTCAAACTATAAAACTATGAACATTTTTTTCTTTTCTTTGGGACCTTTTTGCCAGTATCAAAAATGATACCTTCCAATAGGTGATCGTTGAACATATTCAGACATGTTTTATTGCCAGAAAGGGTAAAGCCTTTTCTTATTTATCATTGTTTTAATTTTACCAAATAAAGCCCACAACCAAATACTCTAAACGCGGAGGAAAAAATCTGAGGACCCGGAGAAAAATCCACACGACCATGGGGAGAGAGACATGCAAACTCGAAATATTCTGGCGTCAGGGTCTGCATTGAACCCACGACCTGTATACGAAGCGCACGAGTTAACATCTCGACAGTTATGTGTTGAGTTCTCTAACAACAATACCATTATTCTCCTACTAGCTGGACTTAACCCGGCTTCGCCCGGGACTTGGATCCACCACGCCCGGCCGACTTTGTCTCCCTAGTGGCGATGTTCACACACCACAGCAGTTGACTCGTTTGAGGATGAGTCGACCTAGGGGAGGCCTCAGGAGCGGTTGAAATAATCGTCACCGGTTGTGGCCGTGAGCGGGAATCGAACTCGGGTCGCCGGGTTCGTAACGCGGCGCGCTAAGTACTACACTACAATGCGTTACGCTTTCACATGCGCGGGTCACATGACAGATTTGACGTCACAGGTCACTTGCCGTGCAAAAAAGATATGCATTATTGAGCTCCCCCAAAAAACAAAAGAAAAGTCTATTTGTATTCTTTTTGCATGGTGTACAGTCTGGAAAGTACCCACATGGCAAATTTAAAGTTTGTGCATGTCGGGAAGTACGCTAAACATTTTGAACAGACACATATTCACAACTTTGCCTTTTATATATATGGAGATTACTCCTGCTGATATAACAAAGGGTACAATGGTGAGAAAACTCAACTCAGACCTCTAACCATTTGCAATTGGGAGACGAGGTGACTTGGGTGGCTCAGCAGTCAGAGTGCACCACTGATATCCTGGGTTCTCAAATATAGTGGTTGAGTTTATGGTCTCAGTCCAGTCACCAGTGAGACCTTTAAAAGGCTACGATAACAACACCACCTAATATGAATGTTAAACGTGGTTTTGCACTTAATTTGGCAAAATTATAACTTTTTGGTTTGACTGTCATGCAATGGACATTTCTCACTGCAGCAGGGCGGCTGGGAAGGTGCTGCCCCTCATGTGGATAAGAGGTCACTTGAGATTTCAGAAGCAGTTCTCTGATTGTCTCCTTCCATGGACCATTCTATAGGACAGGGTGATGTCACTGCTTCCTGATAGTTCCCAATGGATGTTTCATCTCATAATATGACACGGATAGCACAATAGGGTGGGAAAAGTGCAATGTTTTTTAAAATAGGGTGGCAAAGGTGACATGGAATATTGATGTACAAACCACTCCTCTTGCACTATACAATGCCAGCCTGAATAGGTGCTCACTAACAGCACTTTCCTCCAGCAGTCCAACCAGAACCAAAGGGGACCTTTGTTTTTATCTAGTTATTGCACGTCCATTGTATTCGTGAATGAAGAAGCCATGGACATGTCACTGCAATTACGATGCCAGAACATTGTGCGGTTTGTGGGAAATTAATAGTGTTATCCTCTGGATAGACTTGCCATCACCATAGCAATGTGGAATCGCCACCACGAGCTGTAGGCCACCAACAGTAATGAGCACCATCCTGTGCTCGTTTAAGCCAACTATATTTTACAACCAAGTGCATTTATTTCACGCATCTCATATAAGAGATGATTTCCCCAAATTCTCATAAGTTTATACCTAATGTTCTATAATTGGTATTAATCGTGGAATGGCTCATTTTTCATGTTTTTGTTTGAGGCATGGTTGTAAAATGTATCTTCTCTGCGGCCTTGTTAGGTTTTGTGTACGCAGCATGCACTGAAGTGCATGCTCGCACAGGGATTCAATGCACAGTCTGTCACAGTCTTGGGTCCCTTGCTGTTAATTATACCAGGGCCTTGTCAATTTGAGCCATTAGGGCTCCTTGCTTTGCCTGCAAAATTAGGCTTTTCCATTGAAGCCTAAAGATGTCCTGTTATGTGTGCAAAGGGCGTCGGTAAACGGAGATGGGAACGTGATGATATTTCCACAAATAAATAATAGGTCAAGGACACAAAGAAACAATAGTTTCAAGGTCAAGAGGTCATGAATGCTAATGCTCCCGATGCCCCACCACACATTGTCCTCACTTCCTTCTTCCTTAACTCACGGCTGTAGCACAGTTGGCACATGGTCAATATCAAACGTTCTGTCTCGTCGTGCCTCCCCTCCATCTTGCTTGAGTTTTACCTCACCCTGGTCGCCCGTTAGTGTACGTATGTATGTGTGTTGAACTTCTTTCGCACCGTACGTAGCCGACCATGCTAATGGGAGGTGCGGGAGAAGGACAACAAACTAAACACAAAAATCAGTTCCAATGAAATGAGCTTTCAATCTGGATTTAAAACTGCATAGCTCCAGTGGCATCCTAATATCGGAAGGAAGAGCATTCCAGACGGCCGCAAAAGCGTATCTGAAAGCGCGCGATGCAAGTGACAATCTTTGTTCGATGGCTAGCCAAAAGCCGCTGCTGTGAAGATAACCGGAGTTTTCGTCATGGTTTGTGCTCCTTAAGATGAAAAATATTTTTCATGGTTCATTTGTGGTAAGCACTTTGTGTCTAAATCTGACTTAAAGCTTTCGTGACTGCAGGAATTCATATTCTTTGGTTCTTTCGGTAAAGTCACGTAGATAGAAAATAATAAAAAGGTAAAAAAAACCACGACGTTTTGATTGACCTGAGGACGATCGCTTGTGTTGCGATCGTAATGTCGTGGTTTTTTTACCTTTTTATTATTTTCTATCTACGTGACTTTACCGAAAGAACCAAAGAATACTTTGTGTCTAATTGAGTGCGATATTATCATGTATTCGTTCGGCACCCGGAAGCCGTTGCAGCTCGGTGTGCACTGGACGGGCACGGTCAGTGGGTAGCGCCCCAGTGCCGGATTGGTCACCAGCCCTCCTCCATGCCTCATGTTCACCCTGCCCACCGCGACTTCCTCTACCTAATTACCTCTACAATGGCTTCCTCCCACGCTACAGTTTTATTTCACTGAATTTACTTGTAAAAAAAATTACAGGACCGTAATATATTCTTTGCGAGGTGCTACTATGGCACACTGGTAAAGCACACTGAGCCATCAACTCGGGGACCTGAGTTTGATTCCTGGCCGTGAATTTCTGAACCGGTCCTACCTCCCACCATCCCTCACCACCCCCCACCCACCGATTTTACCAACCCACACTTACCAGCGTGGTGAAGTATGGTCAAATCTTGAATGTCACATTTCATGGGGTAGGCCTTCATTCGAGCAGTGTCCTGACAAAAGGGCTGCCAAACCAAATGTTATATAATGTATGAATGCATGCATACAGTGAAACATTCATTCAATAATTACACAAAATTAGCAGATTACTTTGTCGTAATTCTGTGCATAGATCAATGCTTCTTCCCCTTCCCCCAAGAATG